CAGGTAAAGCTATAGAAGCCCAAAAACCAAAAATGAAGCCTAAAGTGACCGCGCGAGTCAACTGCTCCATCAGAGTAGCCCACTCGACTGCCCGTCCTACAGCAAAGTTTCGCAAGATGCCTCAAGTAAGCAAGGCTCCAAAACCCCCGAAGCCAAAACTAAAACCTAAGTGACGGCGTGGGATGAACTATTTCATTGAAGTATGTTCACCCAACTACAAGTCTTACGATAAAGTTTTGCAAAAGACATGGTGAAATAGGAGGATGAAGCAAAAACAAGGAAAGATGTTTATTAAATTTTTAACAAATTGATAAACCAGCTCAAAGGCTAACAAAGTCCAAACAAAACTAAACAAAAAGGAAAATAAGAAAACTCCTAAGTCTAAGCAAAAAGACTACTCCTTGGCAGCCTGTGCAACCACTGGTTCCTCAACTGCCACGCCTTCGGCAGCCGTGCCATTCCTAGCAGCTAAAGCTTCCATCAGCTCATCCTCAGCCGCCCTGCCTGGACTGCCTAACCTTTAGCTGCTCCACCAAAGGCATCCTCAAACTAGAAATCAAGCAGATCAACTGGAGAAATGGAGAAAGTCTCGAAGTCCTTCTTGGAAAACTTATAATCCGACGATCTGCCTGAAGATGGTCTACATAGCCAACTTGTATAAATGGGCCTGACAAGAAGCAAGCACCACTTCATGACCAACTTTCTCATTCTTTAGCTACACATTCTCCTCAACAAGCCCAGTATGAGCACCTTATAGCTCATCCAGCTCCTTTTTCAGGTTCATGCTAGTAGACAAAGCACCTTGCAGATCCACTTCCTTGGGCTCAAGCTTACTTGCAATCTCCTTGAGATGAGACACTTCAGCATGCATGAAGATAAGTTCTTCGTCCCTGGAAAAACAAGCAGATCTTAGCTCCGAATTAACACGCTCAAGGTCCTCGACCACCAGAAAAACACGACTAATTTCCTTCTCTACAGCTTTCAACATCACCTAAGTCGCATTAAGCCTAACATTCAAACGGGCAGCCTGCTCACGAGCGTCTCCAACTGCAAAGAAATGGGGGCAAAGACATTAAATCCCTACAAAATGGAGAGTTCAGATTCGAGCTTCTCGATCTTTTCAGTAGCCAAGCGAAGCTGAGCCACCAACGCCACTTCAGCCTTATTAGCACAATTGACAGCATCCTGATCAACACACACAGATTCAGCTGCCAGGATCAAAGTTTTATGCATTGTAGCAATTAGGGAAAACCTCATCACGTAGGAAGGAGACTTCGCAAAAAAGTCTGAATGGACGATAACTTTCCCACACTATTAATATACTTGGCACATGCATCAACGTCCTTAAGCAGGTCAGCTTTTAGCAGCGCACAAACTTCGTGAAACTCTCCAACCTCAGACTCAGTGAATCTCTCACAACTGCCTGTGCGAGCAGATTTCCCCTTCTCAATAGACAAGTCAGTCACGGCAGAATGAGGAACAGGCCCAAATGCTACCTTAGCAGCATAATCCACTTTCCCGCTCTTCATAGTGGTGAGCCTCTTAGAAGCAGAGCCAGACTTAGCTCCCAACAGATGCTTCGATACAAACCCAGACACCGAAGGCACCACCGAACTCTTCCGTTGGGCAAGTCTCTCAGCAATGGATGTGGTCACCTTTGGAGCAGCAGGTTTCACAGGCTCAGGCTCAACAGTCATCTTCCGCCCCTTAGAGGAAATTAGATCAATGACAAGTTTCTTGGTAGAAGACGAGCTCTCATAAGCAGCAGAAGAAGTCCTTGGCTTCTTCTTAACCGAAGGCTCACAAATAGGTGAGGAAGACCTCTTATTTCCACCACCATTAGCAGCAAGCTCTACAACAACGATCGGGGGAGCCAACACCGCGTCCTTTATCCGATTTATTTCTTCCATCAGTGGCAGGCCACCTTTCTCCTGGCGAATAAGGTTGAGCAGCCAGCGCCACTCACGATACTTAACTGGAATGCCCAAGGCAACGTGCACTTTCTTCATATCCGCCGAAGTCTTTGAAGTTGAGCCAAACTCCAAATCTACACAAAGTAAGAAATATGATCAATAAATTGAATTGATGGAGTAGCTCAACGAAAATTCAAGCATGACATGAATGAAGCAATTCACTTACCACTGATAAAGACAGTCGGGACACGCAGCTGAGGAGAAGAGTCAGACTCCCACTCTCCACTCACCTCTAAGGTATCTCTCGCCCACTCATGGTCACCTTTGCTAGACGCATCGAACAACCTATAGCGAGATCTCAGCTGCCCCACACCCTCCTTGTGGCTGATCTTAAAGAAGTTCCAAAACTCATTTATGGTCAAGCTAAGCTCAAAGAACCTGCTCAAGTTTGGGAATCCCAACATCGCACGAACTGCATTTGGGGAGCACTGAGCAAGAGCGCATTTCATGAAGCAAATTACCTCTTGGAAAAGACGCGGCATGGGAAAAGTAAATCCTAACACAAAGTAATATGGATGGAATTTGATAGCTCTCTTCCTGGCAGATGCACCTTCTTCACATAGTTCATGGCTGCTATCATCATTCACTCACTTGATGCGAACCCCAAATGAAATCGCATGGTTGTACGCCTTAAGAAAATCCCGAAACAGCTCATCGAAATTAATCTTGACATACGCAGCCTTGAAGTAACCCACCTTGTCGGAAGAACCACCTTGACAATACAACGGTGGAGGATATTTAGAAGGTAGTTCGGGAAAAAAAAAAAAAAGGGATGTACGCATATATATACATATATATATATATATATATATCTATATATACGCCCAAGAAAAGCAGCACGGATACGGCCCAATAGGAAGGGAGGCCCGCGCCTCCTTCCTCTTTTTTCCTCCACATGCAAGGTGTCCTAAAAAGAAAACCCAGGCCTCACGGCCCAGGTCCAGCGCATAGAAGGGCTAGTCCCTCTCCTTCTTTTCCCACTGCCCAAGCACCAGCACAGCAACCATGGAGACCCAGCCCAAGCCGATCTCCCCACACCAGCCAACACCTTTGCCGTACCACCTGCAGCTCGTGGCCTCCCTGCCACGCCATTCATGCATCATTGGCACCCACCAAGCCAATTTTTCAAGCCCCAAGGCTCCTAAAAATTCAAGAAGAAGAAAAAATTCAAGTTTTTCTTACCTTGGTATGGCACGGAAAAGAAAAAGAACAACGAGAAACGACTCTTTGCAAGGGCAAGAAAATAAGAATGCTAGGGGAGGGGGAAGAAAAAAATATCCCCTGCTTAAGGCAGAGGTATTGGGGGCAATTATTTTCCTTTTCCTAGAAGAAGTCTACCTCCAAATCAAGGAAGAATATCAAGTTCAAATTGGGTAACAACTCTACAAACCCAAGCAGCTTGGGATTTCTACACCTATTGCCCTTTCCATGCGAGCAGCACAGTAGGTGTGAGGGCATTGTGGAGCCTAAAATAATCCCAAAAATTCTAGAGGCAACATATGGACTTTTATTCAAGAAGGACAAGATTGCCCTCAATAAATGCGCAGGCTTCTCAGATGCACCCACGCAAGATTCAGCAGCTGAACACAATTGCCCACAACTCACCTGCCCTTGGCAAGAAATGAAAGATAAGGATTAATTATCCAAATCATATCTTTAATACATTCCTAATTGAAGATTGACTCCAATCAATTAAGTAATCCTAATTTAATTTAATTAAGGATTATTACCCTATTATCTCCTATTAAATATCTTGAGAATATTTAGAGAATATTTCTCCATTAAACCTTATATGGCCGGCCCTAACCCTATAAATACCCCACATTCTACCAAATTGGAAAGGGCTTTTGCAACCTTAACCTTAAGCACTTTACTCTCTCAGAGTAGCTAACTTAGGCATCGGAGATCCGTTGACCTAACACCCCCCCCCCCCACCTCGTGGGTGCGTGAGGCTTAGGTCTTTGATCGAATGTGTTGATTGTTTTGCAGGTGCATTTTCGTCAAGACTGAAGACAGCGGCAATTTGCATCCACAATAGTGGCTGACGAAAAAGAAGGTATTAAAAGAAAGATTTAGAGAACTCTTGCCCCATTATTAAAGAAGTCCATTTTTATCAATCAGTGAAGATGCCCCTATAATGACAGAAACAGAATCTTGATATCCGAAATAAAATCAAATTTTCATAGAAAAGGATGAGGTTTTTAAACCTTAAATTAATTCACATTAAATAAGCATGTCCTTGATTGACAAGAAAGCTTTTCAATGGCTTGTTAATTAGCTTTCATCCAAGGCATTGTAGATCTCGAAGAGATTTCATGTTTTTGTGTTGTTATGGCTCAAAGTCTGTTAGTTTACGACTACAGCTAGCTAGGGTTTTTCCTTTTTTAAGTTTCCAGATTTTATGTTTTATTTTTATCATTAATATTAGTTAAAATCTACATAAGTATCAAAGTCATTTAATGAATAAATAAGAACCCTTGGATTGGATGTTATTAAATCTAAAGGCTACCTTAATCCTGAATATATATATATATATATATATATATATATATATTCAGTTCGGTGGTTTGGGATTCCTAAACCATTGAATAGGTAATACCGAATAGTTGGGGATCGGTTCGGTTTGACGTCCCCAAAATTATGAAAATTTCAGTTTGGGACTTTTTTGGTTTGGGATCGAATTTTTTCGATTTAATTCAGAATTTTCGAGAATTTTTTCCAGCCTTAGAAGTGGGTTAAAAAACCATTTGCCCCGTTTATGATGTGATACATTTTTAATCATTAATTTATGTTTAGATGGTCAGGATGTGAAGCGGAGTGCAGTCGGGCAGGGGAGAAAACATGCATAGGGAATCGTATACAGTAACAAAAGGTGGGAATCGAATATGAAAGAGAAGTCACATTTAATTGTCAATTCTTAACTATCAAGTTAAGAATAACAATGTGAAAGGGAATCAAATTCAAGACCCCAATGGGTTCCTCTCACAAGTGGTTATTCCTACCTTGACCTTTAATTGTTAATTCCTAACTTGACCAAATTCAAGACTCCAATCGATTCTTAATCCACACATATAAACTTTGTTTTACAACTTTATGCAGATCGATTTCCATTTGCAGCGATCTTGTGAAAGGAAGCTTAATCAGTTAGTTCACTGTATATCTCCAGTTAGTTTCTGGACAAAGGTAAGTTGTTTTGCTTTAGTTTTTGTACGTATGCAATTTGCATTAGACAAACTCCGTCCCATTGATATTGATGCAGGTGAGACATTTTCTGATTACTTCCATTAAATCGTTTCCTGTGAGTGGAAATCTGAACTCGTTTTGTCACTATATACAACTCTTTCTACACTCTCTCTCTCACATGGTCTAAACGATTTAATTTTTTTCTTTGAATATCTTAGATACAAAAAGAACCGCGAAGTTCCGTTCGGAAAGAAAGATGGCGTTGGATAGAATAAGCAACTTACCAAGCGATGTTGTAGAAAATATTTTGTCCCGTTTGTCGATTAAGGAGGCAGTAAGTACAAGTGTTTTATCAAGTAACTGGAGGTACAAGACGGCTATGCTTCCACATCTTGTGTTTGATAATCGGTGTTTTTCAAATAAAAACCTTACAACTTTTGAGAATATTGTCAATCAAGTACTCCTACTTCACATTGGACCTATAAACACATTCAAGCTTTCCCATCTAGATCGTCTTCCCACTAGTGATATTGATCGATGGATTCTTCATCTCTCGAGAAATGCTATCAAAGAGTTGATACTCCACATTTGGAAAGGGGATCCCTACAAGGTGCCTTCATGTTTGTTTTCTTGTCAAGATTTAGTTCATTTGGAGTTATACAACTGTTTGCTAAAACCTCCTTCCACATTCAAAGGCTTCAAGAGTTTGAAGAGCCTTGATATTCGTTTAATTACTCTGGCCCCAGATGTGTTTGATAAAATGATTGTTTGCAGTCCTCTGCTTGAGAAGTTGACTGTAGCGTACATTGATGGTTTAACACGTCTCAAGATTGGTGCACCAAATCTCCAATATCTTAAGGTTAATGGTGATTTCGAGAATGTTTCCCTTGAGAATACTTTAAATCTTGTTGAAGTTTCCATTGCCTTGGATGGTAGCTATGACCAGAGGCTGGTTCCTGGCAATTGTAGCAATTTGGTGAAGTTTTTTGTTTACCTGCCTCATATTCAACGGCTAAGGATTGAGAGTTTCTTTTTACAGGTAATGGTTTTTGTGTTTTCCTAATTTTGTTTAACATCCTTTACATGTCCTTGTGAATTTGAGCGTATTAATTCACTGATCCTGCTTCCTTCTGCATCTTTTCTTCTCCAGTATTTAGCATTTGGTGATTTGCCGGAGAAGCTTCCTGAACCATTATTATCTCTGAATTATCTCTCTGTCGTTATACGCTTTAAGCATCTGAAGGAGCTGTTAACTGCTCTTTTCCTTATAAGAAATTCTCCTTCTCTAAAAGTACTAAGCATTTCGGTGAGTTTAATTCTTTTGATGATTCATTTTCTACCCTTGAAAACCAACTCTACGCTAAAGCTTTATAGTTTGGAGAGCTGTTTAGCGTTAAAGTTTAAGATTCTAATTCTATTAGCATTGTGTAGGCAGAGGAGGATCAGGCTGTACTTGTGGAAGAAGCAAAGTATTTGTTAGATGACAACGAGAATTGCCTGTTGACCCAACTACAAATTGTGACAATAATCGGAGTTTCCGGTGTTGAAACAGAACTAGATTTTATCAGATTTCTGCTTTCAAATGCACCTGTGCTTAAGAGGATGACTGTTAAACCTGCTTCTGTGAATGGTGAACTAGTGAAAAAGTTGCTCCAGTTTAGGCGTGCCTCAGCTTTTGCAGAGATAATCTACATGGACCCATAATTCATCCACGATATACTATTGAAGCTAATTACTTCATTCGCTTGCACAAATAAATGTAATGTCTGCTGTTTGCTTCCTATTTTTCCTTTCTGGTAAACAATGTAATGTCTTCTCTCCTCTTTGGCACAAAACGTATACAAAAATTGATCCAGTGCTTGTTATTTACAATGGTTTATTGTCGTGCTTGCAAGACGAAGATCACATGTACATTGATGGTTTGTAGCCTCTGACCTCTAAAACACAATATTTTATGACACTCTGGCCTTTAATACTAACAATCTTTGTCTTTTTTGTACCAAAGACAGATATCATCTGAAAATAACAATAACAACAAAAACAACAAAGCCTTATATCCCACTAATTGTTGTCGGCTGTATGAATCCCAAAACGATAGTGCGCTCAGTTTTGGATCAAGTCTACTGTTAGCTCTAAGTACTCCATGTCTTTAAAGTCTTTGTCCAAGTCTTCCTAGGTCTTCCTCCACCATTTTTCCCCAAGCATCTGTCTCATATGAAAATAATTAGTAAAACTTAACAAAATGCGAGAAATATTAAAAGTAATACAGAAGGTTTGGTTCAGTTATATATATATATATATATATATATATATATATATATATATATATTCTATCTACACACTCAAACATCCGGGGTCACAGTTTAAATGATCTTGACTCCACCTGCCATGGCCATTATATTAGATTATGGACATCTCTTTACTAGTTGAATATCTTAGAAACAAAGAAAACCATTAAAGTCCTGTTCGAAATAAAAGCAACGCGTATTCAGTTGGCTATCTGGGCTCAAGCCACGAAACGTCCCATTCCGTGAGAGATATCTGAAACGGAGAATAAATTGAATTCTTTATTTGGTCAGCCATTCACTGAGACAACCATAGCCCAACACCATGAGCTCTATACCAGGTTGCACTCTTTTTTGGCGCAAGAAGAAGCTTTTTGGCATCAACGGTCCAAGGAAAATTGGTTACAACTTGGTGATCAAAATACTAAGTATTTCCATCAGAAGGCAAATCGGAGACAACGGAGAAACGGGTTACATTGTTTGTTTGATGAAGCTGGCGTATGGCATGAAGATAAGCTTGGTACGGAGAATGTTATTGTTGAGTATTTTACAAAATTATTCAAATCTCAAGGTGAAGTGGACGCGATGGAAATTCTGAAGGTTGTCAATCCCAAGGTTTCGGCAGAGATGAACCAAGAACTTCTTCGGCAAGTTTCAAACGAGGAAATTAAGTCGGCATTTTTCCAAATGCATCCAACTAAGGCCCCAGGACCTAATGATATGTCACCTGGGTTCTATCAAAAGCATTGGGAGATTGTCGGCCAAGATATTTGTGAAGGGGTTAGGTATCTTCTCTCATCGGGGCATATGCTTCGGAAAATTAATTATACGCATGTTACGTTGATTCCGAAGAAAATGGATCCTACTTCAATGACCCAGCTTCGACCGATTAGTCTTTGTAATGTGATCTATAAGATTTGTTCCAAGGTTCTCACTGCGAGGTTGAAAGTTATATTGCCGGATATTGTGTCGTCTTCTCAAAGTGCTTTTATTCCAGGCCGTTTGATCTCTGATAATTGTTTGATAGCTTCAGAGATTGCTCATTATATGCATAGAAAGAACAATGGGTGGAATGGGGCGATGGCTTTGAAATTGGATATTAGTAAAACATATGATCATATAGAATGGAGTTTTTTGGAGCAAATGATGAGGAGGTTAGGGTTTGCGGAGGAATGGATTCACTGGATAATGATGTGTGTTACTACTGTATCATATTCTTTCAGTCTAAATGGAGAGCTTCATCCTAAACAGGGTATTCGTCAAGGTGATCCATTGTCTCCATTTTTATTTGTGTTATGTGCCGAGTGTCTGTCAGCTTTATTTGACTCATGGGAAGCACAAGGTCAAATTCAAGGTGTAATGGTTTGTAATGGGGCCCCAAGTGTTAATCATCTCCTATTTGCGGATGATAGTTTTATCTTTGCTATGAGTTCTCTCTAAGAATGCATATAGGTGAAGGAGTTGTTATGAACTTATGAACGGGCGTCCGGATAGGCGGTGAACCTTGCCAAAAGTAGTGTGGCTTTTAGTAGAAACCTTACGGTTATGGATGCACAGTTACTGGCCGATTGCCTAGAAATGGAAAGGTGGATTATCATGACTGTTGTCTTGGTTTACCGGTTTTTGTGGGTTGGTCGAAGAAGGAGACCTTTGCATATATTAAAGACCATCCTTGGAAGAAGCTAAATGGTTGGCGGGGCTCTTTGTTGAGTAATGCGGGTAAAGAAATACTCGTAAAAACAATAGTTCAAGCAATACCATTGTATACAATGCAAACGTTTTTACTACCTAAGTCTTTTTGTGAGGATTTGAACAAAATGGTAGCTCAGTTTTGGTGGGGCAGGAAAGCAGGTAAGCGTCGCATTCATTGGGTGAAGTGGCAAAAATTGTGTAAACCAAAGAGTGAGGGTGGCCTAGGGTTCAAAGATTTATATGCTTTGAACATGGCGTTGATGGCCAAGTAAGGGTGGAGATTGATTCAATATCCTCACTCTCTAGTTGCTCGTATCTTTAAAGCCCAGTATTATCCCAAAATAGATTCTCTGCAGGCTTCAATTTCCTCTAATTCATCCTATTGCTGGGAAAGTGTGGCAGATTCCAGGATCATTATTCAGAGGGGTGCTCGTTGGAAGGTTGGAGATGGATTAAGTATAAAGATTTGGGGGATAGTTGGTTGCCAAGGGGGACCTTTTATAAAGTACTTAGTGGTAGACCGGCTAGGGTGCACCCTTCCCTTATGGTGCATTCTTTTAATGGTGGACAATGAAGGGATGCGTTGGAATACAAATTTAATTCGTAATTGGTTTATGGAGGAGGAAGCAAGTTTGATTTTGAGTATCCCATTGAGTTTATTTAATCCAGCAGATTCTATGATTTGGACTAAAGAGTCTAAGGGTGTATTTACGACTAAGAGTGATTACTTTGTGGCACGAACATGTCATGGTCTTGGTGGGGATGAACCAATTGGATCTGCACTAAATGAGGAGACAAAATTTCTTTGGAAAGCTCTATGGCGTGCAAAGGTACCGGGGAAAGTCAAAATTTGTGTTTGGCGTAGGTATATGAATGCTTTGCCAACAAAAGTGAATTTAAAGAATAGACGGGTTCTTACGGAGGATATATGTGGGCTCTGTGATAAGGAGGCAGAGACAGTTGAACACGCTCTATTACAGTGCCCACGATCAGCTGCAATTTGGTTTGGCAGTCCTATGGGAATTCGTATGTTTCAGAGGATAGGGGAGGGCTTTGGTGGATGGTTGATCAATATGGCAAAAACAGTCACTAATGATAGTTTTGAGTTACTTTTGGTGTGGAGCGTTTGGAAGGTATGTAACGAGTTTATTTGGAAAGGTGTGGATGCATCACCATTGGATGTGCAACTTAAAGCCCAAACGTGGCTGACGGAATTCAAGAAATGGAATGAGGTTCAACTAGGCCTGGCAAACGGGTCGTGTCTATCGTGTTCGTGTCGTTTTCGTGTAACACCTGTTATCTTAACGGGTCGTGTCGTGTCACACCCGTTATCTTAACGGGTCCTTAACAGGTTGTGTCACTTTACCCAACGGGTAAAGTGACCCGACCCGTTATGACCCGTTAAGAAAAAAAATATTTTTTTTTTAAATTTGCACATACCACACATTGCCACGTAAATATTACTTCAAAACATTAAAACATTTCTCGTTCAAGTACTATGTCTACACTCAAAAATAAAAGCCTAATAAAAAAATAATACATACACTACTAATCTATTACAAATATTAAATGTGCAAGGATAAAGAGTTTTTGTTTTTAAGATTGTAAGTCTTTCTCAAAAGTTTACACCTTCATTTACAAAATCTTCAATTTACATCGATCATCATGAAATTGTATTAGAACTTTGCCTTGATTTATTGCCTTCAAGAGTAATGTTGAAGATGAGTAATGAGAGTGTTGATTACCTACACAATGGACGGCTGAGATTAAATCTCAGCCGATCCAATGGTTATCAATTTTTCAAATTTAATAAAATATATATATATATAATTATGAAATGGACGGCTGAGATTTAATCTCAGCCGATCCAATGGTCATCAATTTTTAAATTTAATTTAATATATATAATTATTATAGTTTTTACTTTTTAGGGGATATAAAATTATTAAATTAATGTATATAATTATTAATATTATAGTTGATTCATACTTTTATTAAGTATATAAATTATAACATAAGATTTTGTGATATCCACATCCACTAGTGTAAATATTTTAAATTGAAGATCGAATTCATTCATTGTATTCATATAGGGTCAAGGAGTGTAGTTATAAAAAATCATCAAAATCGGAGTTAAAATAACCGTTAAATCGTGATTTTTCGTTTATAACCGTTGAAAAGCTTTGTCCCGTTACTTGATCTCTGAATGTTTTTTTTTTGTGATTTTTTGCTGAAGTGATCTCCAAGCATATACAAACAATTTTGACGGTTTGGATCGTTGAAATTAGTTTTGGAGAATTCGTAAAACGATAGATTGACTAACACTTAGAGTTTATTTATACTTTCATTAAGTATAACATAAGATTTTGTGGTATCCACTTGTGTAAATATTTTAAATTGAAGATCGAATTCATTCATTGTATTCATATAAGGTCAATGAGTGTAGTTATAAAAAATCATCAAAATCGGAGTTAAAATAACAGTTAAATCGTGATTTTTCGTTTATAACTGTTGAAAAGCTTTGTCCCGTTACTTGATCTCTGAATGTGTTTTTTTTGTGATTTTTTGCTGAAGTGATCTCCAAGCGTATACAAACAATTTTGACGGTTTGGATAGTTGAAATTAGTTTTGGAGAATTCGTAAAACGATAGATTGACTAACACTTAGAGTTTATTTATACTTTCATTAAGTATAACATAAGATTTTGTGGTATCCACTTGTATAAATATTTTAAATTGAAGATCGAATTCATTCATTGTATTCATATAGGGTCAATGAGTGTAGTTATAAAAAATCATCAAAATCGGAGTTAAAATAACCGTTAAATCGTGATTTTTCGTTTATAACCGTTGAAAAGCTTTGTCCCGTTACTTGATCTCTGAATGTTTTTTTTTTTTGTGATTTTTTGCTGAAGTGATCTCCAAGCATATACAAACAATTTTGACGGTTTGGATCGTTGAAATTAGTTTTGGAGAATTCGTAA